TTCACCAAGCACGTAATCAAGTATGCTGTAGATACGAAATCTCAGCATCTGTGAGAGCGATTTAAGGCTGGCTCACGCGCCTGTCTCTTGCTTCATACGCTTCAGCAATTTCACGCGTGCTCTGGTCTGTATGCCTCATCACTACAGCCGTTCTGTTTAACTCAGCTGCGCAGCCGCACTGCCGGCTATGGATGGCAAGATGCGTAGGTGGTGTATACCTTTCAGAGAGCTCACGTGCTCCCTTGGACAGATGTTGAAGTCCGTCTTCCCAATGTACGCACGTGCCCCCGCATGACAAAGGCTCGCATAGTCAGTGAAACGCTTAGAACGCTTCATAGAGCAACCTTCAGCCCCTTCTGCCCTTTTTTGTCAACTCTCGGAAACACGCATCCTAGCTTTTTGCCAGCACGAAAGACAACATTTATGTCATAGTGACTGGCCACCATCTTCAACGGTACTTCGCGGAGTGCAGATATAGAATAATGACGAACTTTTCCCGGCTATCCGAGGTGCAACTGCAGCGTCAGAACCCTCTTTTTGTTTCCTTTCCAGGCGATGAAACAGTGGCTGTGAAGTGAAGGCGAGGACCAGGCGCTAAAAACCAGCCACTTACAATCTGATAACCTGCCGTTAAAAAAAAAAAAAAAAACTCGCTTCTGAGCGTGAGGACGGGACTTCTGTAAGTTCGTCATTATCTGCACTCCGTGTCACACTGTTTGAAGAAAGTGGCCAGTCACAATGACATAAATGTTGTCTTTCGTGCTGGCAAAAAAAGCTAACAAGCGTGTGTGTGAGAGTTGACAAAAAAGTGTAGAATGGGCAGAACACTGTCAGCGCTGAAGGTTGCCGCAGGGAGCACATACAGTAGCTCTACGGCAAACTGCATTGCTGCGCCACCGTTGTACAGAGAAATTAAAAACACGTTAATGATGAAGAATTATACAGAGTATGCAAATATTTCCACAAATGTGCGTTCTAAGCGAGAGTCACCTCAGTGGGATAACTTCATTCATGTCGACGTTATTGGTGCTGACATTTTTATATAGAAGAGAAAAAAAAGTAAATTATTGGTTATATGAATGATTACGTATAGAAGCCGGTTCCATATACCTGTATTGTTCTTACGAAGACCAAACTGCCCAAAAAAGAACAACTTTGCCACACTATTTTGGCAATTCTTTCGCTTAATTCGTTCTCGAAGTATTTTAATCATTTAACACAGAAACATATACAGCAAAAAATGTAAATATATTGCTGGAGGAATAATCCGTGCTTTTTATACTGAAAAAAAAAGGCTAAACATGCATAGCATATTGAAATTTTCCGCCAAAGCGAAAAAAAATGAATAAACATTCATAATCATGAAAAAGTAGCGCCTTGAGAATTATGTGAATTTCTTTCGTGTTTATTACTCAAAAAAGGAATGTTATAAAAATATTTGGCGTAACAAAGTTCTGCCTGCAGGTGCCAAAAGTTTTCAGCGCCCTTTAGGGAACACATATTTTGTTCTTTTTTTTTGCAAAATATGATGCCTCAATAACAACTTCTCACATTCACATATACCTCCAATTTTTTTTTTCAGCGCGATCAGAGATGATTAAAAATTAACCCGTACATTTGATATGGAATGACCCAGAATGTTTTAAAAAATGTGTCCAATATTATTTAAAAATTACAGAAAGGAGGCATTTGCGTGCTACCTGTGGCTTACCCTTTACTGTGGAAGAAGGCATCCACAGAAGTCTACAAGCATTAGCTAAGACATTATTTAAAAAAAAACTGAGTGCGTGCACAATTTAAAACAATCAACTTTTCATTGAGGGCGTTTTCGAAGAGAACAATAGATGCGCTGTTTCGTGCATCAGTTTCAGTTTCGCCACATGAATTAGCCAATTTCATTGCTCCGCGGTGACAACCTGTAGCCGCTTTTCCCAAATTTCTAAGTGGCTATAGATGATTCGTAAAAATAACTTGAATTCGCCCATTTGACTCGCCCGGCTATTTCCGCTGGTTAAAAAGTTAATTGTTTAAATTTCTATATATACGGCCATAATTATTATTATATTATGGCCGTATATATATATATATATATATATATATATATATATATATATATATATATATATATATATATATATATATATATATATATATATAAATAGAGGTGTTGTACGGTCGAGAAAGGTTCAGACGCAGCTTGGCAAAATGTGCTTTATCAGGCAGGTCTGGCTAATGGCGAGCGGCGTGCGTGAGCTACTACCACAGCCACCGATCATCATCCTCTTCATTACCAGCAGAGCGTCCGTTATTCAGATTCATTACAATTACTCCCCGGGAAATAAGGAGCCATCCTGGAGACCTATGGACAAGTAAACACGGGAGAGTCGTGGCAGGGCTTAAGTCTCGAGACGTGGACAATTTCCTGTCCACGACGACGTTGGTCAGAAGATGGTTCCAGTGGCTCGATGAAATAATTCACCGGTGACGTTTTTTGTAGCACACGATATGGGCCGTGATACTTGGGGACCAACTTGGTAGAAAGGCCAGGTGTAGCAGAAGGGACATGCAGCCAGACGAGTGAACCTGGATCGTAGAAAGTAGTGTTATTCGATGCGTCATGGTGGTGCTTTTGGCGTCCTTGGTCTTGGGTTGTGAATGATC